AGATAATCTTGCATGACTTTACTATTGTCAAACCACACAAGCCATACTTCTTCGATATGACAAAAGCAAAAACACCATCTACAAATCTGTTGAAAATATCACTTCACAAAATGTTTAATGTTGCACACTGTACATGTAAGACTGAAGTTGGAAGACAGTCAAACTTAAAATGGCTCCTGGCCTCAAGGGAAAACAGTGTGTAGAGTTGTAAGTTGTAGTAATAATATCAAAATTAAGATAATAATTATGACCACCCAGACTACACTCTGGGTGGTCTATAGGAAGCATAGTTCTTGTACCAGTATCAATATGGCAGGAGCATCAGTGGGCTCTGTTGAACACTTTCCCTCGCCAAATGAGAATATTACGGATGAAGCTGAAGCTACACACAGTGTAGATAGAAATGAAGTTGGGATGAAGTCAGAGCGGCTCAAAAAAAGGACAAGCAGTGTGAAAATTCTTGTTGTAGGGCTGATGGGTACAGGAAAATCGAGTCTTGTCAATGCAATGATGGGAAATATTGTTGCAAAATCTCAGGCTGGAGCAAAGGCTGGTTCAAAAGAAGTTGAATGCCATGAAGGAGAACATGATGGTATAAAAATCAAGATATATGATACTCCTGGGTTTGGTGAAAGTGATATTCCAGAAAAGAAAATATTGAAAAATATTGCCGAGAAAACACCAAGGAAGGGGTACGATCTCATCCTTATAGCAATAAAGATGGATAGTCGTCTTGATACTGACAGTGCAAAAAAGATGCTGTTGTCTCTTGGGGATAATATGGATCCAGAAATGTGGAAAAGGACGATTGTGGTACTCACTTTTGCTAATTTTTTTGTCTTTCAACTTGAAAATGGGTATCAAGATTATACTGAAGAGGCTAAAAAGTTACAAGTTATAAGAGAAACGGAAGAATTTAGACGCATCTTTCAAGAGCACACTGGGAAAGATGACAAACTAGTTAGTCAAATCCCATTTGTATTGGCAGGAGGAATGAAGCAGCGACAG